CCCCAAAACCCCAAAACCCCAAAACCCCAAAACCCCAAAACCCCAATACACAGACCAATAATTGGCTTGTAAAAAATGTAAAATCTAGGACTTATTTCTTCATTTTCTTCTTTTTCTGTTCCTTTATTTTCTGGGAGTTCTTGGCCTCTTTGGACAAGATTGAGTAAGTCCTATCGATTAGGGAGTAATTAACCGTTTCAAATACATAGTTCTTCTTTGAGTAAACGTAGAGGTGGTATAGGATTTTCTGGGGATCTGAAGAATCATGCGAGCCTTCATACACATTTATATCCTTAATGTCAGACAATGGGGTATGATAAAGCATCTTTTTGGTATCGAGGCAGACCAACAGAGTTTGCTCGGTGAGGATCATTGTAGCTTCGTCATCTGAGCGTTTTGACTTTTTGTTAAAGATTGGGAAATCTGCGAAATATCTTATACTATGCTTGCTGTACTTTCCGTTTTCAATTTTTATAAGGATTTGATTCACTTCAGCAAAATCTTCATCATAGGGCTCTAGGATATTTCTAGCATTAATATATCTGGGATGTCTGAATCTTCCGTATTGTGGTAATTTTCCCTTCTTGATTCTAATAGCTGTATTAGTGACTCCTTGAGTGACTGAATGTCCAGCTCTTAAAACAGCAGTGAATGGAGAAACTACAAGACCTAGTACTCCTTTTCCAACTCCTTTTGCAAATCCGGTCACTCCTTCTTTCTTAGCCCCTTGGAAAGGCTTAGTAAACACCCCTGTAACTCCTCCTATTAACTCTTTACCTGCTCCTGTGACTCCATCAGCCACTCCTTCCAAAGCATTTTCCGACTTCTTCTGTAGCATTGCTTCTTGTCCAGTGACATTCTTTGCAACATTGTATAGAGACCCTGAAATTTTTGAAACAGAGTCAAAGCTTGCAGAGACCACACCAGTGACCAAAGAAGTGACTCCTTTTCCAACACCTCCTACAAACTCTTTAGGCCCCTTAATGAGTCCTTTTCTAGGTTCATTGAAGAACTCGAAGACTCCTGAACCGAGCTTGTCTACGAATCCAACTGGATTTCCAAGCAAGTCTGATGACCCAATCAGCTTATAGAACTGGAATATTCCCTGCCTGGTATAGTTCTTAGTCAAGCTTGAGATTAAAGCTGACTGTGACTGGAAAATATTGGTTATCACTAATTCACTGAAGGATAATGGCGCATCTGAAACAGTTGCAATGGTAGTGGCAACTGTGTAAAGAATTGTTAACACCCCAAATCCTTTATTTAGATCGAAATTCAGTGCTCTCTTCTCAAATTTCAAACTAATGTTAATCTTGATAGCTCCCAGGTGGATCAAATTGAAATATAGCTTATCAGTATTGATTGAAGATAATTCTGGAGCTTCTGGAGAAGTAGTAGATAGCTCAAGGCAAACTTCTTCCTTTTTGAATATAAAGTCATCTTTCTCAGTTGCGTAGCCCTCTGATTTTGCATCACCTAACTTTTTAATTTCTTTATCTCCCTCTAAAGCATTCTTTTCCTCGACTCCTTTTGTCTGAGCTGAGAGGTATTCAGTGCTAGTATCTCCAAAGACTCCTGTAATTTCAGTAACTGTGTTAATAATCACATTTAGAGCTCCTGTTTCTACTTCAAGCTTCATCTTCTGTATCATGACTTGGAGAGCATCTATCTTCTTTCTGGATACTTTGGAAGACTCATTGTTAGTGTATGAGATCTTTATCTGCACAAATGGAGTGTACTCCTCATCATTAAGGATTTTCTCTTTGTCAAGTATCTCTTCAGGTGAGAATAGGATGGAATTCTCAGTGGTAACCATGTTGTCAATTTGGAAATGATAAATCATGAAGTCATACTCCTCACTAGTTTCAATAACACCTCTTCCTTTATTAACTGTCTCTCGCTCAATTTTTGCTATGATCCTGAAAATTGAGATGTAGAGGACTTCTTTAGGTTCTTTATCAACAAAGGAGATTCCAAGGCCTCTTAAGTCGAGGTTAGCCTTCATTCCGGTTCTATTTCGTGGAGCAACCATTAAGCTCTTTAACAAGTCTTTAGACTTGATAGCTTTGTTTTTACTGCTGACTCTATCTCTGATTTCAAGTTCTCTAAAGAACCCAGTTGAGATAAGTTCTATATAATATTTCTTTTTCTTGACTACGAAGTCTTTCTTCTCTTTGATTTCATCAAGGTCATATTCTTTCCGTTGCCCATCAATTTCAAGGATAATCTTCTTCTCGTTGACTGTTTGGTCATCCCATACAAATGGAATCGGATAGGTTTCGATGGTTGTACCTCCATTCACTTTGTCCTTAATGACAGTAGCTTTTGAACAAGTCCTCATGATAGCCCTGTGATCAATTCCATCCTGGTAGACCTTCACAGTCCTGCCTGAGAAGTTATTGATTCTGTATTCAGGCATGTTTGGATCTCATAACATGACGAAAAGAGTTGCTTCATCTTTTGTCGTAATAATTACTCTCACGAAGCGTCTGAATTCATTGATTTCGGATGGCTCATACCACTGAGGTTCCTTCTTTTCAGACTTTTCTGTGTCTTCTTGACCTTCTTGACCTTCATCAAATTTGACTTCTTTCTTCTCTTCTTCAGGCTCTCTTTGATGGGACTTAAGAGAAATTTGGAAATCTTCAAAGTCATCGATTGAGAATCTGGAGCTCCAGTCTGTTGGCTCGATCTCATGGTAATCAGCAAAAGTGTCAATGAGATTATCTCCTCCAACTGCTTCTCTAATTTTAATAAAGTTGTCCTTGTCGCCTCTGTTTTCAAAATTGTAACAGAATTCTTCCTCTGGGTTGAGGTAAAACTGCTTCAAGCTTCTATCATTGTCCTGAGCCAGAACAAGAGGTTTGGAGCAGTGGTTTACGAAAATGTATCTTGGTACAAATTTAACAGCAGTTGTCTTCCCGTACGGGCTACTCAAACTTGAAATTAGTACTCCAAAGCTAAGGTTATTAGAGTTGTATTTTTGAACAATATTATTGTCTAGGTCAAATTCCTTCTGTCTTTTTAGTGATACCTCTCCTGACATTCCCATAGTAGTGATGTCAAACTCTTTAGCCCATTCATAATTCTCAACACAGACAGAAAATTTCTTCTTCTTGCTAGAGAGAGGGTTAAAGAACTCATTTGAATGAGGAGCTATCATCTTGCATTTCTTCTTGCCACCCTTTTCTCCGAATTTCATTGGGATGTCGGTCTTGTTGATAATCACATAAGGAGTGTAGATAAAGGTATTAAACTTAATAATTTCAAAAGTGAGAGTTACTGGTTCCTCCTCTTCCTTCTGGGACTCATTTCCATCAAGATCCTCAGGATAGAACTTATAATCCTTCTTATTAGAATAAAAGTAATCAGGAGTAGACGCATAAACCATATTTCCATCATCTAAGAACTTAAATTTATATTGGTTCAGACTGACTTCACCTTTGTACAAATCTTCTTGCTTTTTGGCATCTCTAGCCATCTCTTCTCTTTCTCTAATTTTCTCATCTTCTTCTGAGGAGTCTCTCTCCCTCATGTCTTGTTCAACTCCTGTGTAAAGGTAGCCGTAAGAGCCTGGTTTAATCACATGCATTAGTTTGTCATCAATATCTCTGTACACAGTAATATCACTAAAAGTCATATTGTTCAAGCAGATTGGAGGAAGCAAGGTTAATTCGTAATGAGGAGGCCTATCCATCGCGGTCGGTCGACATTTGTTACACACTACATCTAAGGCAATGAATGTATTGTGGATATTCTCTTGCTTTAAGAGATGGTATTTAGGTAAGTCTTCATATGCCTTATCTTCATCTTCTTTCTGTAATAAGAGCTTTTTCAGGTTTGGCATAATTCTTCTGTAGGTCTCATTACCTCCTCTTTCGCATTTATAGAAGATTGATATCTCGTCAATAAACCAAGTGAGAGGGACTTTAAAGTTACTTCCTGCAAAAACAGGATCAAATGGAACAATATCATCAAATCTAGTCAGTTTTTGGCCACCCATTTTTGCTTCTCCTCTCATTGCTGCAACTGCTTCTTCAATAAGTTGTTTTGATATCTCAGTTTCATCCTTATTAATTGCATCTGTAAAGACCTGTGCAATTTCCATGTCAAATTCTGTCTTATTCACAATAGTGAGTTGGGATTCAAAAGAAACCACTTTCCTAATACCTTCAGTGGACACATTGACTGTAATTGAGAATTCATATTTATTCTTCTTTCTTTGCTTCTCAGTTTCATGTTTGAATTCAAGTTCGTATGACCTCCTTCCTGCTATCTCGATAGGGATTCCTGTGATTGGCTCAAATCCATCAATAAAAGCATCCACTCTGATAATATTTTCAGCATAGCTTTCCACTAGCTTTCCATCATTTTGCTTTTTCTTGATAGTTTTGTTTAGAGTATTTATTTCTTTAAGAGTCCTGAAGTTCCTCTCTCCAGGATCTTCCCAATCCTGGAACTGTATGACAGAAACTTCTTCATCCTCATTAGTGAGTTCGATTCCTTGGAAATTCCAAGAATCATGATTTTCAAGAGTGATTCTCATGCCTAATCCAAGATGATTTTCAAAGTAAAATCCAGCAACTTCATCGTCTTCCTCTCCAACTCTTGTCTTCCTCTTAGTAGATTTTCCTTTTGAAAGGGATCTCCTGCCAGTGAGAGTTTTTGATTTCTGCTTAGTTTCTTCTGCTTTCTTTTCATCTTCCCATTGTTCAGTGTTTTGGCTGATCTTAGTCTGAATTCTCTTGACTGCTAAAGCCATACCATAAGTTAAGTTCAAATTAAGCATCTCATCAGAGCTTAGCTTGATTTCTTGAGGAGCAGTAGATGTCTTTTGGAGTATCATTGCGTTGAATGTCCAAGGTTCTATCAATGGCTCATAAGACCCACTGTCTAGGTTGTAGTAATTAGCTTCGAATAGTAAGGCAGCATCTACTTTCATTGCTGGGAACTTGGAAATTCCCATTTTCTTGAGGATGAAATTAACTGCATCGTCCTCTCCACTCTCTTGATTCACTGTAGCAAGGATTTTATTGATACTGAAATTGACCAATGGATATTCGTAAGACCCAGTATCATCCATTAGAGCAAGATTAATAGATTCTGAAATAAGTTTCACCTTCATCTTAATAAACTCCTTGATCCTTCGATCCTTAATAGCAATTTTCCTCTTTGTTGCTTTTACTTCTTCCTCTATTGCTTCTGTTATTTCCTTCTTATCAATCCCTATCTGTTGTGTTTCCTTGAAGGCTTCGATGCCTTCCTGACCCTCTTGAGGGTAGACCTTTTGCTCTTCTTCCTGAGGGGAGGATATTCTGGCTGAGAATTCTCCCATAACCTCTCCTAGTTTTTTGAAGTTATCAATTTCTCTGAATCCTACTTTAAGATCGATAGGCTCAATTACTATTTCAATGTTAGTAATATCCGTTTCTTTTAGAGTGTGCAGGAATTTGTCATATGAGAGATCAATCCTGGTAGGCAAAAGAATTTTCTCCTGGGTCAGCTCACCCTGAATTTCTAATAAATGTCTGTTTATCATTGATATACACAGCTGGGTTACTACTACATTAGCGTCTTGTTGGTTTCGGATCAATTTAGACTCAATCATCTCTGATGTGATTTCATTGATCTTATGTCTAGTGAAAGTAGAGGCTCTGTATCCTACATGACTGGATAACTCAAGGCTTAAAACTCTAGAGTGTTTGTCTAAAGAGTCTAATGGTACCCATATATCGAAATTTCATAATTTTCCTCTTGCACTCATCTTATTAATCTGGTTCAAAATTTTGATTTTCAGTTTCTTTCCTTTCATCAGGTATCTGTTCCTTTCCTCTTTAAGCCTTTCAAGATATCCTTTCTCTTCTTGAGTTTCTTCTTGTTTCTTCTTTTCTTGGTCAATGAGGTACATAGCTGCTCTCTTTAGCTTGGTATCCTTCTCAACTTCGAAATCATCCTCTGATTCTTCAGAATCTGATTCTTCAATCATTTGGAGGATTTGTGTTTTAGTCTCAAAATCCTGGGTATTCTCTTCCTTCAGTTTGTTCATTTTATTTTGGAATTTAGACAATCTCTCAAGAATTGGCAAAGTTACGATGAGTCTTAGGTTGCTGAAGAGGAAATCTACATCTGTGCAAGGCCCAAACATTCTGACTGCAACTTTAAGTTGCGCTAAGCTGTTTACATTCTGGTCCATATCAATGATTGATTCTTCATCTGCTTTTAAGGACTTAAAATCCTCTGTCTTTAAGTTTGCTGAGTTCATCGTGTAGAAGCTTGCTTCATCATCAAACTCTTTCTCTATCTCTGGATTACTAAGGACCATTTGGTAGCATTCAGGTATTAATGGAGCTGCTTCTTGCTCAATACCATCTTCTATCTTTCTGATTTTCTGGAGATCTTTCACATAGAATCTATTCATCACAAGATTCAGTGCTTGTTGTTTTCCAGTGTTATATTCAACTTCAAGACCTTCAAATGCCATTTCAAGGATATTTACATGGGGGATATCGCTTCTTAGGACATCGATTACCCCTTCATATTTTGAAGAATGAGCTACATTAAGAGGGACAACCTCTCCAAGTGTTATGGTCATTTTATCAAAAATGATAAGGATCCTTTGGTCTACTTTAGACTTCATATTTCTATCAATTTTAAGAATTTTGTTCTCAGGGTTTTCATCAACTTCAGTCTTGCTTTTGGCACTGATAGATCTGGTTTCATTGATGTTATCATTTTCTTCATTTTCAATGTTTTCCTCGCCTTCGTTATCTTCTTCATCATCATCATTTTTGGACTCTTCCTCAATATTCCTAACAAGCTTGCGAAGGAGAGAAGCCCCAGGTTTCTCTTTTTTCTTAGCCTTTGGAGGATGAGTATCAGGAGATACAACTTCTTCGACTTTTTGGGCTGGTGGAGGAGAAAGTGCACCTTGAATTTTAGTTAAATTTGCAAGAACATAATCTGATGCGAAAATATCGATTTTCATGATTTTGCAAAATACTTCCATTGTAGGAAAATTTGGGTGGTTTGGCTCAATGGACCTGTTTATATTCATATTTATAGTAATGTCGTTAATTATGTCAATTTTGTTTGGAGCATCTTGCCAGCGCTTATAATCTACAAGTTCTTCTATCATGCTTAGTTGGAGACCACTGATTTTAAGATCATATTTATCAAATAATTCCTCTCCACGGTTTACTACAAGATAGTCTACTTCTTTATGATATGGTCTAATATCAGAAGTCATCCTGAGATATCCCAAATTCAATACCAAAGTCTTCTTATTCCTCAAATCTGTGATTGATTCAGGAACTACTAGAACTGGCGCAAAGAGCTCGATATCAACATCGATTCCTTTATGGACATATTCAATATCTTGTTGGGACTATTGAGTTATTCGAGTAAGACTTACCTCTTCTAAATAGTCTGCTCCTGCATTCATATATTCAAGAGCCTTAATCTTTGCCCTGTCTGTATAGTAAGAGAGATCCACTTGTTCCTCTGGACTGTCTCCTCCAGCAAAGAACTCTTGTAACTCTTTTATAAGGCACATATTCGCGAAGATATATTGGTGTGCTTTAGTGTATAATTTAATTTTCATCTCCCCATCTTCATATCTTGGATTGTTTTCAAAATGGAGAAGGAAGCTATCCTTCCCATCAGTAGGTTGGTTACCTGGAAACACTGTTTCAATCATAAATTGATAAATATCACTTCCAGTCACATTATCGATAATGTTTAGTTTCCCAGAAGAGAGATCTATCTCTTGCCAGTCTTGCCCAATTTGAGCTTTTGTCTTCATGCCTGACATCTGAATTTCCATGATTGATTTCTCTAGTTCTAAAGTAGAGTCTTCATCAAGCAGTACTATCCTTAGTTTTGGGATTACAATATTAGCCAAAAATTGAGTCCATTCATTAGGCATATTCTTGAGAGCCTCTTGGTCAAAAATAGGTTCATTTTCGAGTAAGCTATCCATCTTTTCATCAATTTTTTCTTCCTCATTTTTGAACTTGCCGTCAAACTCCTTATTAAGCTTATCTTTGAACTGCTCTATTTCTTGCTCATCCTTGAGTTTCTCTTCCTCTGATTTACCGCCCCAGAAGTTGGATAGGTATCCTTCAGCTCTCTCATTTTCAAATTGCTTGATCTTCAGATGCATGCTTTCTCTCTCTTGCTCCTTCCTGAATTCAAGGTTATACTTGTTGATGGAGATCTGCCTAATCGCTGCAATGGTCTCATATGCATAGTCTACCTCAATGTCCTCTATACGATGCTGTTTAGGAAATAGCAAGGATGGATAACATTTACAGCACGGTGATAAATAAAATTTAGACTTGTATTAGAGATTCTTACTTAGCCTTTCCCGAAGTTTTGCAGCTTTCTTCTTCTCCCCAGCGGATTTGTTATCACCAGAGAGCATCTTGTACTCCTCATAGATTTTCATGTACTCCTGAGACTCCTCTCTACTGAACTTGTTCGAGAGGAGGTTCTTCTGGACACCTGTTTGGAACTTAGTATAGTTTGTCGAATAATCTAAGTATTTTAGGATACAGTTCATTTGTTGCTTTTGGAGTTTGAAGAATCCTATACCCTCTTCGGAATCGACGAGTTCGTTTCTGCCTTCCATGAACTTTCCTCCAATTACGAGATTGATATCTACCATTGGTTTGTTGTTTTTCTTTGGATTTTTGTTGAGCCTAATTCTTGCTTCAATACAGAACTTCTCAATCAAATTTCTGTTTCTATCATGTTGGTTGAGCTGGTCCTGGACTACTTCTGAAAGATTCATGTCTTCTTCAAATTCTCCAAAGCTCACACCATCCTCATCTTCCTGACCTGGTTTAGAGAAGTTGAGATATAACTCAAAGTTGGTTATCTTAGCCATTTTAAGAGAGATCTAGAGAATAATTAGCGATTTTTGAGTAAGACACAAATTGTGGTGAATAAAAACCAAACGAGATATACTTACATCCTCTCCTGAGACAAAATCTCTTTCCCATCTTTCATTGCAGGTATACAATTGGAGAGCTTCAAGATGGATACCAAGAGCATATGGGACCTTCTTATTAGAAGTCGAATCCTCAAGTCTGAAGCAGATGTTCTTAATATCAATCTGTATATTATCAATGATCTTGTTGATCATATTTCCTGCCATCCCTGGTTCAGCATTTTGGATCTCAAGTTGAGCTTTAAAGGTATCCTCAAGTCCTTGTAATTGTGACTGTACTCCAGCTACGAATGCATTTTTGATGACTTCTTCGTTCCATTCCTCTACCTCCTTCGGGTTAATAAGCATGAAGATGTCGCTTATCTCGATTTTAAGCGGTGATGAAAGAAGACTAGTGACTGGGATATCAACAAATAATCTTCCTACTTTTCCATACCTAATCTTAAACGGCAATGGCATGCTATCCAGAATGGTTGGCTTGATGGACAAGTTCTTTAACTCAACATCTCCTGAGAGAAGACTTATGTTGAGCTGGTCTGCCTTTATTCCCTCTATAAAGTCCCCAAGGACTCTGTTTAAAACATTTGTAATCAGGCCTTCGAACATGATTAATTTTATTTGGATTTCGATGAAAATAAATAAAAAGGGGTTTTGGGGTTTTGGGGTTTTGGGGTTTTGGGGTTTTGGGGTTTTGGGG